TGGCGCAAACCATGATAGCTCATACGCCACCTGTCTATTCACTGGCTGGCACATGGACCGGACCAACCATCGCCGCCAACAATAACTTACAGCAGACAACAACGGTTAGCCCTATGACCCCTATACACCCTTTCCCCTCCAGTTACTCCCTCCAACTACCATTCCAGCCGTACCCCTTTTACGGACCAAGCCCTGGCTATCATACGCTGCCACCATATGGCTTAAACACACAATACCAGCAGCTGGGAGCGTCCACCATCCCAGGCCGCGAATGCCTTTCCCGTAGTGTGACGTCTCCGTTTGTCAAAGAACAGTTGGACTACGAAATACCAAACACAGCCAAACTACCGACGCTCAAGACGTATAACGGAACCACTGACCCAGATAGCCACATCGACACATATGAATGGACCATGACATCATTAAAGCTCGATGAGAGGTTTTGGTGCACATACTTCCCAACTACACTTGACAGCAATGCTGGCACGTGGTTCAAGACGCTACGACCAGGCAGCATCTCCAATTTTGCCCAGCTTAAGTATCTTTTCCTTACCGACTTCATGCAACTGCGCAAGTACAAGGGAGACTCTCACTCAATCATAGGCTGTAAGCATAAGGAGGGTGAAACTGTACGGGAATACTTCACAAGATTCATAAACGCCACGTTAGACGTAACAGGGCATGATGAGGGGCTCATAGCCGGCGCCTTCACATGGGGGCTGTTGCCAGGCCCTTTGTCGCAGAAACTCATGGGAAAGAAGCCCCTAACACGGGCCGAATTGAAGGAAAGGGTGGAGCGATATTTGAGGCAGGAGGATGGCGAAGCAGCAAAACAGGCCTACCTGAATGCCATGACTGCCAGACACCACAACCCGGGTCACACGGACTTCCGAGGGGGAAGTAGGCACTACGGCCAAGCGAGAAGACCACAGGCCCGGTTCCGACAGTTTGCTAAGGATGACAGGCGTGGCCGCCGCCCAGAGGTGTACACGGTGTCGGAGAAGCAACAGCCAGCCAAGTCGCCAAAGAACCGGTACTGCGAGGAGAAGCAGCCAACTGTTCGGTGTTAAAAAAAGAAATGGAGGAGAAGCAGCTTAAAGGGGACTTGGTGGAAATAGAACGAAGCTTGCGTGCCAAGTTTGATGCAGAAAACACTAAGAACACACCTCGCGAAGGGGTCCAGCCCAAGGAGATATTCATGATATGAAGTAAGAGAAGCAGGGAAGAACAACAGATGGAACAGGGGACCACCAGAACCCCGATGCGCAAGCTCACATTCTCCGTTCGGGACCCTCGCCCGAAGGGATGGAGAGGCGACGACCCACTAGTGATCCAAGCCTCCATCAGGGATGTAACCATACACAGGGTCTACGTGGACACGGGGAGTTCGGCGGACATCATTTATGAGCATTGTTTCCGGCTCCTTCCAGATCTCTGGAAGGACAACCTGCGGCCCACGACGGGGAGGCTGGTCGGGTTCACCGGCCATAGCCTATGGCCGCTGGGCATAATTCACCTCCCTTTGACCATAACCAGCCACAATAAGCAGCAAAAGAAAACTGCCTTGATTGACTTTGTGGTCATTCGGCATGCGGCGGAACACAATATTATACTAGGGAGAACAACTCTTTTAAAGTTAGGGGCGGTTCCATCAACCATGCATGGAGTCATGAAGTTCGACACCCCAACGGGCGCAGCCACGGTACTGGCCACTCCACCGAAAGAATTGCAATGCTTTGCAGTTATGAAACCAGCAGAGATAACTAAAGAGGCCAAGAAGCTGAGACGCGACCCCGCAAAGGGAAAGGAGGTGATCAACGAGGAACACCCTGACCAGCCGGTCAATATTGGATGTGACCTCCCGAGTCACATAAGAAAAGCGTTGGTCGACCTGCTCAAGCGATACAAACACGTGTTTGCATGGACCCCCACGGACATGGTGGGGGTAGAAAGGAAAGTCATTGAGCACAAACTTGTAATTAAACCAGGAGTAAAGGAGGTTAAGCAAAAGAAGAGGGTCCAGGGTGGGGACCGTAATAGGGCAATCAATGCTGAGGTGGCCAAACTAGCAGAAGCTGGAATAGTAAGAGAAGCGATATTCCCGACATGGATTGCCAATCCAGTTATGGTTCGCAAGCAAGATGGGTCATGGAGAATGTGCATAGACTTCTCCGACTTAAACAAAGCATGCCCTAAAGATTGCTACCCCCTCCCAGAAATTGACCAAAAGGTAGAGTCGTTGCAAGGATTCAAGCTGAAGTGTTTCTTAGATGCATATAAAGGGTATCACCAGATATTGATGAGCAAAGAGGACGAGGAAAAAACGGCTTTTTATACGGACCACGGCACTTTCTGTTACACTAAGATGCCTTTTGGTCTAAAGAATGCGGGGCCACATACCAATGCCTAGTTGACTCGATCTTTGCCAAACAAATTGGGAGAAACATTGAAGTATATGTGGACGATATGGTGATCAAGAGCCCGCACGAAGATAAAATGTTACAAGACATCGAAGAGACGTTCCAAACCCTAGAGAAGGTAAAGATGAAGCTAAACCCGGCTAAATGCACGTTTGGGGTGGAAGAGGGGCAGTTCTTGGGGTACTATGTCACCAGGCGGGGCATCCAACCCAGCCCGACCAAGGTGGACGAGTTTATTGAAACGCCAACCCCAGGCACCCTCAGGGACGCGTAGGGTCTAAACGGGAAGCTCACGGCTCTGAGCAGGTTCATCTCAAAGTCCGCTGACAAGGCCATGCCGTTGTTTCACACGTTAAAAGGATGCATTGAAAAGAGCAACTTCCAGTGGACGAACGAATCAGAAGTAGCACTCTAGAAAATCAAGGAGGCATTACACCAGCTACCCACGTTGGCCAGTCCCGTCCCGGGGGAAACGTTGCAGATGTATCTTTCGGCCTCAAACGAAGCGATATCCTCGGTATTAACTATAGAAAGAGAAGGAGAGCAGAGGCCGGTGTATTTTGTAAGCAGAGCATTACAGGGGCCAGAACTCAACAACCCCACCCTGGAAAAGTTAGTCCTGGCGCTCATCTACACGACACGGCGACTAAGGCGGTATTTTCAAGCACATCAGATCGAAGTGCTAACGAACTGCCCCATCAAACAAATACTGCTTAAACCAGAGACGTCGGGCCGGCTGGCGAAATGGGCAATCGAGCTAGGGGAGCATGACATAAGTTACCATCCGAGGACAAGTATTAAGGGACAAGCATTGGCCGATTTCCTGTTAGAAATCCCGGACAAAGGGGGCGCTGGTAAGGAGAAGGTATGGGCAGTTGAAGGAGCTCCGCTCGACAATAGTTCGTGGACATTATACACGGACGGAGCATCTAGCAGGGAGGGCTCGGGGGCGGGGCTAATCTTGACTAGCCCTGAGGGGGAAGAAGTGACCTACGCCCTCCGTTTTGATTTTCACACATCAAACAATGAAGCGGATTATGAGGCCCTCCTTGCAGGATTGCGACTAGCCAAGCAAATGGGTGCAAAGGCTGTAACAGCCCTAACTGACTCAAGGTTAGCAGCGAACCAGGTCAAAGGAAGTTTCGAGGTGAGAGACCAGAGAATGGGAAGGTACGTAAAGATGGTGAAACAACTAATCGAATCGTTCAAACAGTTCACAATTAGGCAGATACCTAGGAGCGAAAACAAGAGACCGGATACTTTAAGAAAATTGGCATCCAGGTGCTTCGATCACCTATCGAAGAAAGTCTTGGTAGAGGTGCTCCGAGAGAGAAGTATAGACGAGCGGCAGGTGAACACCCTGACGACCAGTGGACCAACGTGGATGACACCATTCAGGGAATACCTACAGAGAGGGGTGCTCCCAGACGATCACAGCGAGGCCAGGAAGATACGTATAAAAGCGCCCTCATATGCACTAATAAATGGAGAACTATACAAGAAAGGGTTCACAGCGCCATGGCTGAAGTGTGTAGACCGAGCCAAAGGGGGAGAGATGCTACAGGAAGCACACACAGGCTAAGTGGGTGCACACGAGGGGGCACGGGCCTTGACAGGCAAAGTACTTCGAATGGGTGTATATTGGCCCACAATACAACAAGACGCGCTAGAGATAGCCAGGAAATGCATGGAATGCCAGTCGTACGCTCCGGTCCAAACAAACCCCCCGGCACCATTGCACAACATATCCAGCCCGTGGCCATTCTACCAATGGGGTATAGATATAGTGGGCCCATTCCCGGAAGCACCAGGGAAGCTGAAATATATGGTGGTGGCCGTGGATTACTTCACAAAATGGATTGAAGCGGAGCCATTAGCGTGCATCTCAGGAAGACACATGATAAAGTTTGTGTGGAAGAATATTATGACAACATTTGGGACGCCCAAAATACTCATCAGTGACAACGATGGAAGGAAGGCAGGTTCCAAGAACATGGAACGCCAGGAACTTGAGAAAGTTTTTCTTTTGAAAAAGAAAGAAGTGTAGCCCCAGTCGATCAATGCGCTACTTAGTGCGGTACATCCCAAGTACTTAGTGTACACAAGTTCATGCTTAGTGACATGAGTCTAATACTTAGTGTATTTATGGTCCATGGATAATGTAATGGGATTATTCAAATGCTAATTGATAAAAATGCTTAGTGACATGAGTCCAATACTTAGTGTATTTCCTTAATACTTACTGTATTTCCTTAATACTTACTGTATTAATTCTTAAACGATTGAAAATATGCATAGAGATTCATTCGTTGGGAGCTAAGAGCACCCAAGGTCGACAATTAGCGTGTCGACGATAACATAGGCAAGACAGAACGCCTAGTGCATCAGAGCGCTATGTCCTTTTCAGAAAAGAAAAGAAAATATACAAGGAAAAGTAAGTAACAAACAAGCAACATTTAGAGTCCATGTTCACATGCGCAAAACATAAAATATTGTCCGAAAAACCCATACAAACTAAAGGCACCATACGGCCATCAGAAGAAGCATGCAAGATATAAACTAAAACATATAAAGAAATTTTCACGCCCCAGATGGGGTAGCACACGATGCCGGAGCATCTTCAACAACATCATCTTCGCCACGAACGACTTCGTTTCCCACAACAACCACCTGACCTTCTCCACGATCACCATCACCACCCTCGTTCACCTTTTTACCACCAACCTCAGCAGCCTGCACAATATCTTGACCCACCGCACTTTCCGGAGTACCCTCTGAACCACCAAACGAGCAAAGTTCTCGGAGACCTCCAACATCCAATTCACCTAAACCCAACAGGGATGCATGATCCATGCTGGCAAAAGATAACAAAGCATCATTCACACTAACCACGGGACCGACAAAAGCAGCATCAACACCAACATCTCCACCACCAGCACCAGCAGAAGTTTTATGAACCGACTCAATCCCGGCCACAAAAGCAGCATGCCGGATGAGACTTATCACGTTGGTAAAGTCCAGATGCTCAATCAATTTATCAACAATACGAACGACACCAACACGTACCAGCCAGTCTAAATCCTGACGAGAAGCATCCAAATCCGATTGTGTAACACCAGCAGAATTAGGGTCAAAATTAAACTGTTATAAAACTACAATTGGGTTTTACCAAGTGGTAGATATCGTAACGAGGTTTCCAAGAATATAAAGAACACTAAAATCCGAGTTATAACGAAGAGGTTATGACCAATCGAAGATCCGCGGCAATACCGGTAAAACACTGTTAAAACGTAAAATACGAAAACCCGATAAAATACTTTTCAACCTTAGGTGTCTAAATGAAAGTCATAGATATCCCAAAACCGTGATCATACACAAAAAGAACGCCCCAATCTGACTTTGTATGAGGAAGTTATGATTTTTCGAAGTCTCTGACCTAGCAGTAGACAAAAAAAAACTCGAAATAGAGATCGAGCGGTCTTTAGCCGACACAACCTAAACAAAAGTTGAAGACCCCGACAATATTAGCGCAACGGTAAAAAGTCCGACAAAAACGGACATCAGATGAAGAAGTTATGGATTTTTAACGGACTTTTCGTGTCCCGGCCTGTTAAAAATAAATAATTCAAAATAAATTCAAAATTAGCAGACGAAGTCTAAACGAGAGTTGTAGAGTATATTCTCACCTACGCGTGCATATAAAGAACGTCGAAAACAGAGCTCGTACGCGAAAGTTACGGATTTTACAAGTTCGAGGCCCAAAATCTGAGGCTGTCAGGTCTGCCACGACGTGGCACAGTTGGCCGCGACCCGGCAAGTGACTGAGAGCGTCCAATCAATGGAAGAGGATAAGAAGGCTCCCCACGACGTGGCACACCCTTTGCCACGATGTAGCACCCAAAATCTATCCCTATAAATAGAAGCTTAAGGGTGCCGGGTTTGGTGCTCATCTCTTTCCATCTAAGTGCTGTTACTTTGCGTAATTACCTCGATAAGCCATCCCGAAGCCCCGGTTTTCACACTCAAGTCCCGAAGGAAGTTCTACACTCCCGAGAGTCCCGAGAATCCCAGGATTTTCCCGCGTTTTCAGCTTTTCCTGTCGAAGTTCTGCTCGATTCTTCTCTCGACTACTTCAAATCAACCACTTCAATCAAGTGAGTTCATACCCCTACAAACACACTTTAAATACGTTTTTAACCGCTTTTAAACACTTTTAAGGGGGGGAATACAAGTAAACACACGGCTAAAATCATGTGAAACATCGATCTTTTGCTATACTTTTCATACTGTTGTTTTAACTATCATATGAAGTTGTTATCATGCAAAACACCTCACAACACAACTTTACCCTCTTGGGATACAATATGTTCTATAAATAGAAATATGCTTTATTTATACGTTTGCATACTACATCATATCAAGGGTAACCATCTTTGTTAAACCATTTTATGCATTCAAAGAACTTATGATTTATGCTTTGTCAAACATTGTGAAAGAGAATAAACATTGCATACAAAACTATCACTTTAATACAGACTTAGTTGAGAATCCGTGAGACGATTACATCTTCAATGCTACCTTTTTACGTAAAGGTACTACCTAAAGTCCTGTCTATTATAACCAGAGTCTCCCGTTTGGAGAGTGTGTCAAATGTGTATAGATCTATACGGGAAGTCATGATCCCGCGCCCTGACTGTTAGCTACAGTCCTTTGGGTGACAGTTTGGCGTAAACATTACGACGCCTGAAGACCGTCGCCACAGGCATATAATGTTTAGTATGGTTATAAAACTCCCCGGATAGACAATTATTATAGTATTCTTATTTTATGAACGAATAGCTATTAAAACTACTCTTCATCTAACAAGTGCGATCTTCTTATAGTTTTACTATATAAAACTATGCCTCAACTTTTAAGCACGTCGGTTGCTTGCGATTTTCGGTCTTGGACATTAGAGACTGCCTGTTACTTTAGGAAAATAAGGGATTTTCCTATATCTAAAACAATCAACTAATAGGAAAATAAGGGATTTTCCTGGTGCAACTATATACGATTCACAACACGAACATTCATATGCATTTCATACTTTTATAAGAAAATAAGGGATTTTTCTTGGAAAACGCACGAACTTTGGAATGGCATACATTTTCTCAAAACCGCTTATGAACTCACCAACTTAAATGTTGACACTTTTTCTTTGAAATAACTTGTATTCTCAGGGAACCGTTAAGCAGGTTTGGAAACCAACTTTTGGGGATTTACGCTCCGACGTTAATTACTTCTTTTGAAAGATGTTTATGTATTTATCTTTTGAACATGTACAAATACAATTATGTAACATTTTGAAACCTTTTATATATATATATATATATATATATATATATATATATATATATATATATATATATATATATATATATATATATAATATATATATATATATATATATATATATATATATATATATATATATATCTATGTATATATATGTATATATATATATATATATATATATATATGGTGGTGTGTACTTTCCTTATTATGAACTGTTATGATATTGAATATGACGTCCTCCGCCCCCGAACGTTTCCGCCGTTCTGGTTTGGGGGTGTGACAGATTGGTATCAGAGCTTTGTTTATAGTGAATTAAGTATATCAAAACCATTTTTGGTATACAACTATAAACACAACTGGGCGAAAACACTCTGAGTAAGAGTCATACTTTTAAAATAAAATTTATTTAATTTTGTTGTAAAGTTGGCATGCATCCATTTCATATTAATAACAGGGTCAGTATCATAATTAAAACAATATAGAAGTATTATAGATGAGTTGTACAATACAGGTATGCCTTGAGATATGTAATCGGGACTGGGATGACTATAGCCTGATCAACTATATTTGTCCGAGAGCCGACCAGCATATGCCAGGGGATAGCTACAATGGACAACAAATCTAAAACTTACCAAACTTATCAACCTTAGAATCAAACATAACATTTAGAATACTATAAGAGTATTTTATGCATACAATAAGTTTAACTTTGATGTTCAAACTTATGTGCCTTAGTTCTAGACAATCCTTACCTCCCTACTCTCGTACAGACACAATGGTTGGATTCCACCTACCAGGAGACCCCTACTACCCGAACCAAGACAGTGGAGAAGGGATACATAATGATCCAGAAGAAGAAATGCAAGAAGAAACAGACTCAGATCCCGAGGACAATAACCTACCCTTAGCGGCTCCAATTCAAAATCCTAATCCTCGACCGGAATTTCGTGGCTCGACACCTCTATGGGCAACCAACCTGAATAGGTGGAGTCACGAACAGGGTCAACCCCTTCCATTCAATGGAGACCGAAACTTTTACAATCTAAGCGAGGGAGGCTCAGCAGACAGAGTCCTTCCTATATTGGTTCGCCGAATTGCTCGCATTGATGAACAAGGAAGGACAACCATCCATCGAACTGAGGAGAATGATGCGAACACTGGAGTCAATACAGTTCGCATCCGACAGTTAGGATTAGCTCACGGGAGAATCGTAAATCAAAATAAAGCTTGGCAGAGAGAGCTAACTGAAACTCAAACTGAAGTCGGGGAATTTAGAGCACGCCAGGCAAGGTATGAAATGCGTTTGCTCGAGATGGAACGTCAGTTGGCAGGTCAAAAGGCTCAGCAGAACAGTTCCCGCCGCCAGTAGAGGATACTCTACTCACTCCTTCTTTTGGGTTGTGAAATAACCTTAGTATGTACCCTAAGTAGTACTCTTTTCATGTAATTACTCCTGTCTAGCAAGTACTGTCTCGTTAAGTCTTTGTACTGTCAGGTTTCCGTGTGTGGTATATTATAGACCTACCCCAAGGTTGAATTGTCCGAATTCTAAGTAACTGTATACCAACTAATATGACAGGCCTCTTTCTTCCTTTAAAGATCCTCGTTATCAATTCATACTCTGACTATGTAAGCAGTTCATGTCATAAACTGTTATAGCAACTCACTATACTGTCCATGTCGATCTAATCTATTGTAGTTCAATGATATTGAACTCAACATCACTGGCGAAGTCTTGCCACCATTTCATCTAAAACCCTATAGCTGGAAAATGCCTTCTCGCTAATCAAACGGACTAAACCCTTCGATAAACCCAACTTTTCTATCACTTACACCCTTTAGAGAGAGACGGTTATCATAGAATAACAAACCTTTATAACTTCAACTAGGGCAATCAAAACAACGACGGAGATTAAAATGTGCCTGAGGAAAGGCAAGAACGCCGTGTTTATAAGATACAGGATATAACAAATCGTTACCACCGAGGAGAGGACAAAGGGAACCATTCGTGAATCATGAGAGGTGGTAGAGAACCTGATGCGTCAGACTACTAAGTAATAATTATTATTACCTAGTGAGTGGGTAAGTATAATACTCACGCTTTGAGATGGATACATCACATCCTTCTTCATAACTCGGAAAAGTAAAGGAAATACCCTCTCCCAAAACGCATGAAACTAGATCAACTTGAGATTTCAACCCTAAAGTATAAATACATCATAAAGGAATGTAAGCCGGAACATTAGAAACCGAATATCAAAGTGAGGAAATTATACGTATAGAATCCAACTAACAACGATCCTAGTTATCTAACCAACACGTTTCACATCATGTAACAGAATCATGTCTTCACCTGGAAGTATTCAACCAACCAACGACACACCACTTCTCCATATTGACTCAGCTACTCTTCGTGCTGCAGTCATAATCGCCGTATCAGCCATCATGGCTTATATCAATGCAAGTAATGCTAGTAAAAATAGGAATGGTGTCGACAATTCAAATCTCTGCAACAATCAAGGAAACCAACAAGTGCGAGCCCATAAGAATACTCCAACCCAACAAACCGCTCCCGCCACAAATGTCATAGTAAACCGTACTTGTTATGAGTGCGGAGCTACGGGGCACTTCCGAAGGGACTGCCCGAAGGTAAACAACGGGAATGCAGGTGGAGGAGACCAAGTATTCGCAATAGGCCAAGAGGAGGCCATTGCAGAGCCCACGGTTATTCCGGGTACATTTCTCCTCGATAACTCATTTGCATGCATTCCATTTGACATTAGGAGCGGAGAGGAGTTTAGTGAGTCATAATTTTAAAAAATCTACCCAAACAAACACCCCAATCATTAAGCGAAACCTTCACTATAGTAATAACAAAGATAAACTAAAAGCACTCAAAACACATATGTAGAATGCACTATCACACTAACGAACACTTTCCTAATCGGTTTCACCCCTATTTCGATCAGAGGTACCCAAATAGCTACTAGAAATGGATTGGCTTGGTCTTCACCATACCAATTGCATGTGCTATGAAAAGACCCTTTGCGTTAACCACCGACTAATAAAACTCTTCTAACGAAACTCTATCGATTTATAACGACAAACCCGACACAACTCCCAAACCATTCCTAGTTTCAAAATCCCGTAGCACTCATGTGAGGAGTACTATATCCTTTGTGACCTTCCCGAAGTATTACCGACAGACTACTTAGGAATAGCACACGTACGACGAGTCAAGTTCAAACCCGGAGGCTAGGAATGATTACGGTTAACCTATCACTACAAGGTGTGTATGCGAATGGTATACACAAGGCGATGATAGACGGACCAGGTATGAATTCAACTATGAAGTTCAAGACAAAGCCGACCTATATTACGAGTAATCAATACTAACATTTAGATGAACATAGACAAATAAACCCAAATCCACACGACCTCTACCGATCAAAACAATAGACAGGATAATAAAGATCCGTTGGAACACCCACGCTAGGATCAGGATTCACTAGAGAACAAGAATATCAAATGGAACAGAAGTACGCACATCTTTCCTCAACGATTGAAGTCCCAGTCAAAATGCGAATTGCAGGACGAAATTCTCTCTAACGGGGGGATAATGTAACACCAGCAGAATTAGGGTCAAAATTAAACTGTTATAAAACTATAATTGGGTTTTACCAAGTGGTAGATATCGTAACGAGGTTTCCAAAAATATAAAGAACAATAAATCCGAGTTATAACGAAGAAGTTATGACCAATCGAAGATCCGCGGCAATACCGGTAAAACACTGTTAAAACGTAAAATACGAAATCCCGATAAAATACTTTTCAACCTTAGGTGTCTAAATGAAGTCATAGATATCCCAAAATCGTGATCATACACAAAAAGAACGCCCCAATCTGACTTCGTATGAGGAAGTTATGATTTTTCGAAGTTTCTGACCTAGCAGTAGACAGCTAAAAACTCGAAATAGAGATCGAGCGGTCTTTAGCCGATACAACCTAAAAAAAAGTTTAAGAACCCCACAATATTAGCGCAACGGTAAAAGTCTGACGAAAACGGACATCAGATGAAGAAGTTATGGATTTTTAACGGACTTTTCGTGTCCCGGCCTGTTAAAAATAAATAATTCAAATAAATCAAAATTAGCCGACGAAGTCTAAACGAGATTTATAGAGTATATTCTCACCTACGCGTGCATATAAAGAACGTCGAAAACAGAGCTCGTACGCGAAAGTTACAGTCTTTACAAGTTCGAGGCCCAAAATCCGAGGCTGTCAGGTCTGCCACGACGTGGCACAGTTGGTCGCGACCCGGCAAGTGACTGAGAGCGTCCAATCAATGGAAGAGGATAAGAAGGCTCCCCACGACGTGGCACACCCTTTGCCACGACGTGGCACCCAAAATCTATCCCTATAAATAGAAGCTTAAGGGTGCCGGGTTTGGTGCTCATCTCTTTCCATCTAAGTGATGTTACTCTGCGTAATTACCTCGATAAGCCATCCCGAAGCCCCAGTTTTCACACTCAAGTCCCGAAGGAAGTTCTACACTCCCGAGAGTCCCGAGAATCCCGGGATTTTCCCGCGTTTTCAGCTTTTCCTGTCGAAGTTCTGCTCGATTCTTCTCTCGACTACTTCAAATCAACCACTTCAATCAAGTGAGTTCATACCCCTACAAACACACTTTAAATACGTTTTTAACCGCTTTTAAACACTTTTAAGGGGGGGAATACAAGTAAACACACGGCTAAAATCATGTGAAACATCGATCTTTTGCTATACTTTTCATACTGTTGTTTTAACTATCATATGAAGTTGTTATCATGCAAAACACCTCACAACACAACTTTACCCTCTTGGGATACAATATGTTCTATAAATAGAAATATGCTTTATTTATACGTTTGCATACTACATCATATCAAGGGTAACCATCTTTGTTAAACCATTTTATGCATTCAAAGAACTTATGATTTATGCTTTGTCAAACATTGTGAAAGAGAATAAACATTGCATACAAAACTATCACTTTAATACAGACTTAGTTGAGAATCCGTGAGACGATTACATCTTCAATGCTACCTTTTTGCGTAAAGGTACTACCTAAAGTCCTGTCTATTATAACCAGAGTCTCCCGTTTGGAGAGTGTGTCAAATGTGTATAGATCTATACGGGAAGTCATGATCCCGCGCCCTGACTGTTAGCTACAGTCCTTTGGGTGACAGTTTGGCGTAAACATTACGACGCCTGAAGACCGTCGCCACAGGCATATAATGTTTAGTATGGTTATAAAACTCACCGGATAGACAATTATTATAGTATTCTTATTTTTATGAACGAATAGCTATTAAAACTACTCTTCATCTAACAAGTGCGATCTTCTTATAGTTTTACTATATAAAACTATGCCTCAACTTTTAAGCACGTCGGTTGCTTGCGATTTTCGGTCTTGGACATTAGAGACTGCCTGTTACTTTAGGAAAATAAGGGATTTTCCTATATCTAAAACAATCAACTAATAGGAAAATAAGGGATTTTCCTGGTGCAACTATATACGATTCACAACACGAACATTCATATGCATTTCATACTTTTATAAGAAAATAAGGGATTTTCTTGGAAAACGCACGAACTTTGGAATGGCATACATTTTCTCAAAACCGCTTATGAACTCACCAACTTAAATGTTGACACTTTTTCTTTGAAATAATTTGTATTCTCAGGGAACCGTTAAGCAGGTTCGGAAACCAACTTTTGGGGATTTATGCTCCGACGTTAATTACTTCTTTTGAAAGATGTTTATGTATTTATCTTTTGAACATGTAACAAATACAATTATGTAAACATTTTGAAACCTTTATATATATATTATATATATATCTATCTATTATATATATATATATATATATATATATATATATATATATCTATATATATATGGTGGTGTGTACTATCCTTATTATGAACTGTTATGATACTGAATATGACGTCCTCCGCCCCCGAACGTTTCCGCCGTTCTGGTTTGGGGGTGTGACAGATTGCAACGACGAAATAAGCTTGTCACGGTCAGCAGCATTGCGTTCGAGACTTTCCACCTGGATCATCAAACCTTCATTCACCTGAGTCAAGGAGTCGACTTTAGCTTCCAAGACTGTCCTAGTTTCGTCAAGAACGATCTTCTCAGAGGATAGTGATGCGACCTTAGCTTGGCTCGATCAGTACTGTTCACTTGGATTCTCGGCTGCCTCTGCAAGGTCACAAAGAAAGAAGGCCGTCAGCCGCTTTCCGGGAGGAGCTCCCGGAAGAACGCTCCGACGGTCAAGTTAGAGAGTGTTTAGGATCTTTGGTGTATGCTCTTAGAGAGTCCAGAGAGCTTACCTCGTAGGTCTGACAGCGTATCCTTTTATACCTAGCTCCCTTGCCTGATCCGTACCAGACAAGATCGCTTTTTTGGGGAGACAGGATCAGGGGCGCTGATTGGAGAGTCATGCGCCTTCAACCGTTAGGGCGCTCTTATTGGCTCTGACGGTAATGGTCTGATCCTCCTGCTTGTCTCCTGACCGTATCTTTTGTCTTGGAGCTGGGAGCGTCTCTTGGCGGGCGCGAGCCTTTCGCCTGTGCGTTCCGCTCCCGAGAGCGCCAGCGGACGCTAAGCTTGCTGGGCTGGGCCCGGTTGGCGTGCGCGAGCCTTTCGTATGTTCCTTCCACTCCCGGGGGTTCCAGCGGACGCTAAGCCTGTTGGGCTGGGCCCGGTTGGCGTGTCCGGCTCATGCTTCTGCCGTGCTGCCCTAGGCACGTCATCAGATAGCAATTCACACTTCTGCTCAGACAGGCGGAGGTCCTCGCCAAGCTCGTTGAGGCGACGCTCCAGCCCCGTCACGCGCGACCTACAGGCAGCGTGGGCAGCCTCCATCTCACCAAGAGCATGAACACAACGGGAACCTGCGACAAGGTAGAACATGGTTTGCGCAGTAGCGTAAGCCATGTTATGAGCCACGATAACCAGCCACGATAGCCTATGGCCGTTGGGCACAATTCACCTCCCTTTGACCATAACCAGCCACGATAAGCAGCAAAAGAAAACTGCCTTGATTGACTTTGTGGTCATTCGACATGCGGCGGAACACAA